CTCAAGCAGCTCCCGACTCACGCGATTGTCACCTCTTGCGAGGACTTCGTCCTCGGTAAGCTTGAAAATATGGCCGGGTCCCGACGCGTGATCTGCAACCTGAGAGTTAACGTCCTTTTTACTCGTCGCCGCTGCGTGCTTGGCCATTCGCGTCCAGAGTAATCCCCTGGTTTCTCTGACGTAGCTGCTTTGTTCATAACTGCATCAGATCCGGTAAACGACTACAGCCGTTTCCTGCCGTGGCAGTGGGGCTTTCGGTCTCCTGACCCGGCGTCTGATGGTTGCTTCTGGCCTGTGCATGTCGCACACTATTATACAATTACCTATCATTAAGGATTCTCAACCGAATCTTAGACCTCAGGAAAATAAAATCCTTGTTCCAGTGACCGCTTCTTCTTCTTCTTCTTCTTCTTCTTCTTCTTCAGAATTCGAATTGCAAGGAGCGAAAATTTATGGGGATTTTATACCGACGTTTACAGAAAACTCTTCAAATATGCAAGCTCTGTTACAGCTCCGAAACCTCTCTTAATTATTTTGGAACGCTTCAGCTATCCGGAATTGCCTGCAATAGCAAATGCCTTTGATTGATTTAAGGCCTTTTTTATCGCCACTATGTGCGAAGTTTATTATCAGTTACTCAGAAATACTTACACTTCCCTAAAATCTAATGTATTTCATTGGACGGAAGAAAATAACTGTGAAACGTCAGCAACCCGTAACCAGCGCCATTGCCACTGACTTATGTTGCCTTCGGCGGCCTAGCCCTGCGCACTCAGTCAGGACGTTCCCGCCTCATGCGTTGAGCAGTCGCCAGCGCAAAGGCTGACTTAAACCGTCCGCTATGGTTCACCACTTAGACGTGCGCGTCTTGGCGCTGGCTCCATAAGAACTCGAAGCCAACCAACGTGTTTAATCGCCGCTGATTTAATTGACAGTGCCTTTGCTAGTCCCTGAGGCGTTTGGATAAACAGGTTTTAGTCATTACAGCCTATAATTGGCCCGCCAGGGGAGGACGAAGTACCTTCAACACGAGTTTGGCGATAACACTCTGGGTGTTATACTTGTAAACAGAGGAGTTCATGACTGAGACTTACTCCATGTACTATGAAGCAGGAACTGGCTTTCCGGGGTTGGTTTGAGAACCATCGAACCGACGACGTAAACGCTCTGAAAGGATTAAAAGAAGCGTTCTTTCCAGCAACAAAATTCATTTTACGCAGAAAATAGCACCTTCGTACACCCAGGACTTACCCGAATCTCCGAGTCAAAAATAAGTCGTTGGTTGATTTCTTGGTCTGGACTAACATAGATTGCATTAAGTACCTTTACATTTGACGGCAGTATTGGATCTGTAATAAGAAATATTTATACATATATTTTAGTAAGATTTTCGAGGTTTGCTAAGGTTTATTCACTGGGAGAGGTTGGGTACTTGTAAAGAAAGGTTTTAATGAGGTAGTCTTCCCAAGCCAGATTGGCTGAATTGCGGCGGGAGTAAATGACGTAATTTCGAAGACAAACGAATTAACAATGAAGCACTCAATCAATGACTAAATATAGGCATCTGTTTTATTTAATTTCTTACAGGCTTCATTTGCATATATTTATCATACTGCTAGGACTGCCCAGGAAGCGAGTTATTACACGGGGCCATCCTGAG